CATAGGTGATATTAGGGGTCCTAGAGACCCCTAATATCTCCATAAAGAGGACCTGTCAGTGTGCCTTTGCTATTATATTAGGGGGTTGTTATCCCCCTATATAATAGCAATAACAATAAGTGCAAAAAAAAATATATAAATAAAAAAAAGAAAAGTAACACATAAAAAAATAAAATAAAAGCCACATATAAAAAAAGGGGGAAAAACCCCCCCAAAATGTTTAACTCCCCCACCCCCACGTTTACGCGCCTATAAACGTAAATACGCGTCCGGTGCCCCAGCGCGCAAAAATTACAATTGCGCTACACATGTTACATATCGCCGCGAACGTCGCAGTGAGAGCAATCATTTTAGGGCCATCAATCACTGATAACACTAAACTGATGAGCGGTAACAGCTTTTAAAGCGTCGCCTAGGGCCAATTTTGGGTATTATCGTTTTTTGAGGTTTCTCGCGCGCACGCAATTTTAAGGCTTGACATGTTTAGTGTCTTTTTACCCGACGTGACCCCATCTTTTATATTTTACCAATTAACAATTTATAAATTAAATTTCGGTAATTTTTCCTTAATATAGTAAAAAAATAAAACCCCCATTGGTGAATAAATACCACCAAAAGAAAGCTCTATCTGTCCCCAAAAAAGGGTATAAAATTCATTTCAGTACAGCGCTGCATGACGGAATAAATGTCAGTTAAAGTACCGCAGCGCTGAATACTGAAAAATGGCCTGGATGGGAAGGGGGTTTAACACCGCGGATGTCAACTGGTTAATTAGTGTTAATACATTGTCTACCCACCCACGAACAGAGACCCACTTAGTCCTTTTCTTTATTGATGTTACACTTGTATATTGCAGCTCCAATGTCCATCCATATTTACTTCCGCATCACTTTTCCATTATACCTATCATGTCCCAAACCCTGTCTTTTGTGCTTCCCTCACAATAATTTTATGGAGTATTTTCACATAGAAAGAAAGACATTGTTTATGATTATTGGCCAAGCAGTACTGCACTAAATGCTTTTGCAGTAAACGCACCTTGAAGGGAATTTATCAAAACTGGAGCAGACCAAATCAGGAGCAGCTGTGCATGGCAACCAATCAGCTTCTTTCTCTCATTTTCAAATCTTAATTTAACAAACTGAAGGGAGAAGCTGATTCATTGCCATGCACAGCTGCTCCAGATTTTGTCTGCTCCACTTTTTGATAAATTCCCCCCACTGTGTATTAATGTGTTTTAAAGTGCCCCCTTTTAATTCCTTACCTTTAGATCTGCCTTTACTTTACAATGTGCTTGGCTACTTTTTGTACTGAACATTTTTTCCCATAACAATGATATAGCTACATGGAGTATTTATATATGAGTATTAGTCATTATGTAGGGGTGGAAATCTGCACTACAATGCAGACCTGTACATTGTAAATGGAAAGAGGATCTGTTAGCTGGGAATGAAAGGCAGACTCTTTGCAAGGAGCAACACATTTGTGTAATGTTATCTTGTAGTCTGTGTACAATTTTCAATTTAGTGCAATTTATATTGACCCCTATGTTTAAGTCAGCCCATCAGTCACATGGAGACTTGATTCCCAATGATGCGATAACTGCTTCATCAGCTTCTTTAGGGGTCCTCAGGTGGCAGGGGTCAATAAAGAGGACCTGTCATTGTATATTGGCTATCACATAGGGGGATTTTTATTCCCCCTATGTGATGGCAATTAAGTTAAATGTAAAAAAAAAGGGTTAAAAAACAAAAAAAAGTTTAAGTCCCCCACACCTGCGTGCGCATACTTATGAACATAAATAGTGTTGGGTGCACCTACGTGCGAAAATAATGATTACGCCACACATATTACATATCTGCGAATGTCCCAGTGGGAGCAATAATTTTAGGGCCATTAATCACTGATAACACTATACTGATGAGCAGTAAAAGCTTTTAAAGTGTCGCCTATGGCCAATTTTCGGGATGGTAGTTTTTTTAGATTTTCACGGGCGCACGCAGTTTTAAAGCTTGACAGGTTTGGTATCTATTTACCCGACGTGACCCCCGTCTTTTATGTTTACCAAAAAATTGGGTGCTGATAAATGTTTTATAACGTAACGTAGGGAAAACGGGTTTTTATTCAAAATTTGTGGTAGTTTTTTCATTAAAGTAAAAAATAAAAACCCCAGTGGTGATTAAATACCATCAAAAGAAAGCTCTATCTGTCCCTAAAAATATTTGTATAAAATTCATTCAGTACTGTGTTGCATGACTGAATAAATGTCAGTCAAAAGTACTGCAGTGCTGAATACTGAAAAGTTGCCTGGACAGGAAAGGGGGTTCAACACCCTCGTCAGCAAGTGGTTTATGATATGCTGTCTGAGGCAACAGTCTCATTATAGGGGCGGCCCTATTGTCGGGTCATGAGACTTTTCTAGGCTGTGTGATGTCTGAAGAGTTATGGGACTTCAGGGGATGTGAGATGTCTAAAGGGTCATGACACTTCACAGGCTGTGGGAAATAAAAAAGCAGGAAGCAAGTCATATGTGGTCTGTGACCAACTTTAAATGGCAGCTCCAGAATAAATTTGCACACCGGTTATGCAAACATTATGTGACACAAGCAAATGTGGTAAGTGTGTAGTTATATTAAGTTACAATAGGATGGTATTTACAATGTTATGTGATTATATCAAACTTGTGTGTGATCAGACACTCATTGATTTCTTACAAAACTATACAAGCAATATATTTGGGTTGGCTAACTATGAACTTGCAGTCCACATTTAACAAACTATTGTTTAGCACATCTTCTGAACTGTATGTTGTTTTCCATTGTAGGTCCAGGTGTGGCACTTCTGTAGTCTATAAAGAAATGATTAGATTATTAACTGTACTTGTGTAAATCTGCCAAATTTGTGTCAAACTGTTACATGGAATAAAAGGACAATACACGATTAGCTCAAGGGAAAATTGCAGCTAGCTGCCTAAAAGTATTCAGTTGTAAGGTACTTCAGATATAAGAAATTGATGGTCCTTTGATCTGTGAACTCATTTTTATTCTTTGGTTATTCCTAGTACGTGGCTCACATATTGGGTTTTAAGCTTGTCAGCACATCTATAACTATACGAGAGGATGCCCATGCACCAGAAACTCTGAAAATTCAGATCATCGATCTCAGCACAAAAGTCTTCCAGAGACCAGGCGCGCAGGCTTTGAAGTGAGTTGTTTTTGCATATGAATAAAGGAAAACGAAAGTGTTAGATGGCAGAATTGAAAACCCACATTGTGGCGACAACAAACACTCTAATCCTGATATTTATTCTTTGAGAAGTTCCACTCTCTGACCTAATGGCAGCTTTAAAATTGCCGATATGGAAAGGTGTCATTTGTATTTAATGGCATTGTACAATAGGTACTTTTAATGCAATGTATATGTGAATTAGAAGCATGCTAACAAGTCAGATCGTAATGTGCATGTTTGACTTGTATAGTGTGTAGGATATCTGCAGGTTACTCAAAATCTGGAGTGGTTATGAGACTCCTATTTATTACTATTTCTTTCAGTAAGTGTGGAAAATATAGCATGTTAGCAGAGCAATAGAAAGAAATAACAAAAATAATAGAATTACGTATTGAGCAGTTGCCTGTTTTCAAATGATACTTAGTATAGCTGCTCCTTTAAGTAAGGCTGAGACCTCATTCAAATTGAGCGTTTTGTAGCGCAATTTCTGCTCAAAAATCGCTCAAATATGAAGCTCAGTGTAGCTCTTCCAATGCATTTCAGTGAAGATGTTCACATCTTACACCTCAATGTCGCCTGTAGCTTGTAGCTGAAGCTTGTCGCCCCAATATGAGCTATTTTTCAGCAAATTTCAAACGATTTAGCCCCAATAGACTTTGATAGACTGCCGAAAGAAGTACTACATAGTGCGCCAAAATGTGCACTGTAGCTCAATGTTGATCAGCTCAAATCAGCACTGAAAAAGCTTGTAGCTCACTGTGAATGGGTTCTGAATATATTTGGTATCACCTAAGCAGTGATGGAAAGGATCAGGATATGACTTGATCTAATAAGTGACTGGTTAGTCCTGGTTTGGCAGTTCTTTTTATTTTGTCGGACACCGCATCATGTGTCTAATATATCGTGTGTCAGTGCTTTAGCAAACCTGGAACCTGAACAAATTGGACTATATTTTACTTAGGTTTTTACCCTGGTTAAACAGGGGAAATCATTCCTGAAAGAAAGGCAGAGGGAATTGTGCCAAAAGAGGGACTATCCCTCTTTTGGATTGAAAAATACTTACTTGTGTGTGGATTGCTTTATAATCTATGTAGATCTAATGAAAAATGTCAAGCTTGTTCAGTTACGGTTTTATGAAGTCTTATGTGGATTGACTTTGAATTTTATGTGAGCCCGCACACATTACATTTTCTGTATAACCTTAAAGGAGAACTATGGTGTTAAGGCTTTTCCCCATAGTTCTCCTTAGGTTAATGGGAGGACACAAACTAGCGTCCTCCCGTCACCCTAGGCTCAGTATACTGCGAGCTGCTGCTCACGGTATACTGAGACGCCGCAGCTTAAGCGGATCCCGACAATTATGTCTGCATCCGCCCAGCTGCGTGACCGACAGCTGGCTCTGCCTATCTAGAGGCAGAGCCAGCTGTACCCGCCCCGTCCGTTCCGCCAGCCAGCGCTGGCGGAGCGGGGAGGGGTGAATCCAGCCCCTCCCCTGTCACGGCAGAGACCCGTGACAGGATCGAGAGGTGAGTGAACTAAGCCGGCCTGTGACAGTCTCATTGTCACAGGTCGGCTAGAACTATGAGGTGAGTGAAAAGCACTCACCTCATAGTTCTCCTTTAACTGAATAGATTATATTGTATAACCAGATTGTATTGCAGGGAGTTAATAAAACCTAATTTCAGGCATATAGTTTAAATAAGCTGAACAATCTTGTTCATAATTTGTAGAGCCTATGAATCTTTATCCAGTGGAAGATAAAATAAAGGAAATCCTTTTGGGAGGGACACGTTAACAATTGTTTAATATTTACATGTTTTCTCTTAAACCCATCTCATATACAGTATGTGGTAAATCCTCTGTATTTAGGATTGCACCTTGTTTAATAGTTAGATTTGTGTGTGATGGACTCCCATACATAATATATCTGTATCATGATTGTTATAACCTTCGAATTTCAGGGTAGATGCAAAGCTGGACCACTGGTATGTGACTGGCCTCAGGCAACAAAATATTGTTCCATCTCTTGTAAGCAGTATGGGTTCCAGTGAGTCATCTCTTCTTAAAATTCAGTTTGAAACTAACCCTGAAAACAGCACTGCCGATCAAGTCCTGATACTGCAGTCCCAGCCTGTGGAGATTATTTATGATGCTGTAAGTAGATATCACCAAAAGTGTAAAGATGATTTGTGTCTTGTATTAAAGTGTATGTAAACCTTAACAACGAACTTCCTAATTTCCCCCCTTTTGGTCAGTTAAATATTTAACTAATAATCAATTAATTATATATTTTTGAAAAGTGCAAAAAAATGCTTTTGATCTTGCCAGAAATCCTGTGCTTTTCTGTGCACTTTGCAGTGTTATCTTAAGCAGTCTTAAGACCGCTGTCCAGGTCAGTTCTAAACTTAACGCCCCCCCCCCCCCCCCACCCTTTTCTTACATGAGAGAGGGGGTGATT